TATTTTGATTTTAGTATTTCATTAGCTTAATGTTTATGGGTGCATGAACTGACTCTTGTATGTAACATGGATTCAATGTTCTTGTTCTTTATTGGATTTGGTCTAGAACAATCTTAGCATTTGCATCCTAAGGGATGACCTAAAACAGTTGTTGACTGGGAAGCTTTTCTTAATCCATGAATTTTAATTTCTCGCACCCATGCAAGTAATAATATGGTTTCATAATCATTTCTTTGATCTGAGAATCCGACTGACAAAGGTCAAATGATATCATGATGTGGAATGTGTTGAGAGAAATAATGAGTAGCAAACAATAAACATGTAATTTAATGTCTAAACAAGCAAAAAATATTAACTTCATTTTATCTATTCGCTTATTTTTTTCAGGTTTTTCGAGTTACTGTTTATTTTCTAGAGGATTCAATTGTGAAGTTTATGTAGCTGAGCCTCTTAACCTTCTTAATTTTGATGAGCTGTATGTTTTTTCTTGAGTGCTACTAATGATCTATGTAGGAATACTTCTTTTTACCATGAGTTAAATGATAAAAAATGACCAATGTTTTGTAAGATAAGATCAAGACAACAATGTTTAGAAAGGAGCACAAAGGCTTGAGTAAACATATGTTTTTATATGAAGGTTAAGTTTATTTTTTATTCATATTGATTGCAGAAGCGACATTTAACTAAAGTATACTACTTATAAAATGAAATATATCTAGATATTAAACTATTTGTGCACTATATAATATTTGTCAATGCCGACATCTAACATATATAGTATTATTAATAAATTTAGTAGTCAAAGTTTGTACAATTATATAGGTATATTAAAATATTGTTATGTTAATTAGTTTAATATATTTCATATATTTTATAAAAATATATCAATATAATGTTCATGAAAATGTGTGAGAAAGAAATTTAAAATATAGCACAAGTACGTCCATGTGCAATGCATATGCATTATACTAGTAGAATTAAAAGCATAAATAGAGGTTTCAGGACCAGAGGATTCGAATCAGTTGAACATGAACTATATCTAGAAACTTATGGAGGAACAAAAAATATGAAATATGGTACTATGAAATGGGCAGGTCACTGTCAGGAAGTGAGAATGGAATTCAAATAGAACAAAAGGCTAAAAAGGAGTCCCAAATTAGGCATGGATGCTAATAAGTAATAACAACAAAGGCCTGTTCACAAACTATTAGGTAAGCTGCATGATTTTTTACCATTAAATTCACATAAATGAGACTACAAATGTCTAAGTGTTGATCACTCGTTGATTTCATTTGACTGTTGAAATAGGGCATTGATTAAACATAAACATTAATTATTAAATACAGGTATATAACTTCCACATATTTATTGTGTCCAGAGCCCCATACACAAACAGTGAGAAACAATAACTTTACCTTCTTTAATCTTCTTGCATGGCCAAGATTATAAACATATTAATCAATTCAATTGCAGCACACTCCTCACCAAGATTCTTTGCTTCCTCATCACTACAAAAAAGAATTTTAAAAAACAACAGAGAAGAAGTAAAAAAGAGGAAAGAAAATAAGAAATATTTACCAAAATCCATGCTATCTAAAAGACTTCATTGTCGTTGAAGAATCAGCAAAAATTCGAATACATACGTCTTGATTCTTGCTTCTTCTTCGAATTTGACCCAAAAATTATAAAAATTCACCCAACTCAATATTGACCTCTAACCGGAACTTAAAAAAAGAGGTCTTTTACCACTTTTGTGAAAGTACCCTAGGGGGGTGAATAGGATAATTGCTAATCTAATCCGATATTAATGCTAAATCAAAACTTATTAACTATATCCTAGCAATATGATATACACAAGTGATAAATGCAAGGATGTATAGCTAAACAATGGGCGAAATAACCTATGAGACAATGGCGATAAACAATGAGCACAAGAAAATACGCCAAGGCAATCGCAAACACAAATGAAATGATCACGGAGTTCGGTCAACCCTCGACCTACGTCTTCGCTCCTCACCCTCGAGGAGAATCTCCACTATCTTAACACAGATAACCACACAATCAGTTTTTAACGTTCACCGATAACATTTACAAATCACACGTTGATGATCACACAATATACTCTAAGTGTTGGCCTACCCGTGTCACCTTCCTCAAATGCTTGGATTTACTATCTCTCCCTAGGCTTTACAATCAACGCCACTCCTCTTGGAATTGATCACGGTCTCTCCTAATCACTCCTCTAAGTGTTCTTGTGTATTACAACGTGATCTCACAATTACAAGCTCAAATAAGTATTTTGTTCTCCAACAAAGATGAGAACGAAATTGTAAGCTCACTCTCAAAGATACACTCTCACAACCCAAATATACTAAATGTGAAATACTTAAGCTCAAGTGGTTGTGTGTGTAGACGATGAGTATAATGAAATATAAACTCAAATCAATCTAGCATAAATATATGAGAATCAAAATAATAAATAGCTAGGAATTAAGTTTAGAAAACTTATCTAAGAACAAGAGAGAGAAAGAGGTTTGAAGATGAATGCTCAAAATCGATTTGATCTCATTCTCTTGTAAAAACTCTTTGCATAAACAAACACACTTGATTTTTCTTTCAAAAACCCTTAAACAAACTTGCAAAAGCTTTTCTAAACATCCATAAGTGAAACAAATGAGTTATGAGACATATATATAGCCTCACAAAAAAATTTCAGCCAAAAACTAGCCGTTACAATGCAATTTGACCGTTATCGGTTGACTGATGCTTTGCATCGGTCGACTGATAGACTAAAACTTCAAAAGGCTGAAAAATGCTTCTGCTCGGTAGATTGACACTGTTCAGTCGACTGAGACACTGTTCAAGGTCGATTGATGCTGTTCAGTCGACTGAAAACATACACGACAGATTCTGAAATTTTGCACAATTGATTTTCTAAATTCAATTTAAAATAGCAAAAAGTCTTCAAAAATAGTAAAATTTTGGAAAACATTTATACACATGAAATTGAACATGTTAGAAAAAGAATTTCTCAAATTGCATTTCTCATTTGTGAAAACTCAAGTATTTTGCAGACTATTCAAAAATACAAAATCGTCAAATACTTGATTTTTATGAAACAAGTTTTGAAACACTTTCCAATAAATTTATAGACTTGAGAAAAGATATAAAATCGTGTTGTTAAGTCTATAATCCAAAATGGAAATAAATCAAACTAAACAATAAATTAAAACAAATGTGTATATGTATGAATTTTGAGCTCTAAGTATAAACACACAAAGTATAACAACTAAACTAGAAACTATATAGCCAAGCTAAAAAATCTTCATTTGAGCTCAATCTTGATAGTGAGGATGAAGAACGATATTGTCTTTGACTGGAAATGCAAATAACTTCATTTCTATATCTGCCAACCTCCTTTAGATATTATCGTGAAGGCGCAATCCAACCAACTTAACATCGTTTGTCTAGTATTTGTGTTTGTTTGTTAGGTATTCTAAACAAGCATCTCCTTTAGATACCTAACAAATAAACACAAATACTAGATAAACGATGTTAGGGATTGTTTTTTAATCATCAAAACTAGATTAGACAATAGGCTCATAAACATGTGACCTAACATTTTGGGGATCAAGAATGGCCTTTCCAACTGCCAGTAGATCTCATCTCTCTTGGATGATTTTTGGCGAGTGAAAACCATGGATCCATCTTGACATAGAACTTGATACTCCAACTCTCATTGCCTGCCTCCTCTTCCATTGCCATCATCCCCTTTCATCACTTTTTCTAAGGTTTATCCCTTTCTAAGTAGTCATCAAAGGACATGGGCTTCTTCGTTCATCTCCTCTTCCTCCGTAGGGATCTCAAGCTGTTTGGTAAATAGAGTTAAAATGTAGGAGTTAATTTTTAAGTATGAGAATTGGTAGGAGTTATGAATTTGATTCTTTTTGGTTGTTCAGGTAGAAAATTTTAATAATAGTGTTACTGCCTTATTGGAGCTAGATTGCTTACTTCATTCTTTATGGTTGAAGCAAATCACCCTCCTCCTCCTGATTTATGAGTAAAATCTGGGGCTATGGTAAAATCAAATATGTGATGGCTAATAAATGTAAGTAAATGTTGAGTTTCAATGTAAATAGTCACAATTAAGTAGTTAATGATTTAAAATTGTAACAAATATTTAAAATAGGAACATTATGCATATATTTTTTTCTTCTTCATCTAAATATGAAACAAATGACCATCAATCAACTGAAATTAGTAATTGACCATTATATCTTCAAAAAAGCATGATAAAAAGCCCACCTTACATCTCCTAGCTGTCGATGATATCAACGTTACAATTCCAAGAACATATACCCAAGAAATTAAATCTTTGCTGGCATCCAAATCACCATAAATAATCAAACATTGATGTTAAAAAAATTTAAAAATCTTCCGTGGCCATATAACTAAGCTTTTGAACTTAATTTCCATGTTCCAAGAAACTTGAATCGCATACCTAATTCCTAAAACTGAACTGTCATCTCCTAATTAATACCCTGACCAAAATCACCAAAAAAAATGCCATGATACTCGAGCATTTGCAAACAATAACAATAACAAATTCGAATTTTAAACTTATTTGTTCAAAAAGAACATACCTTGCATACTTGAACCTAGAGAGAGAGAGAGAGAGAGAGAGAGAGAGAGAGAGAGAGCGCATTTTTGTTTGGGTTTATTTTCTTTTAAATGTCGTCAAGAATTGTAGCTCTCTAGCCCGGAGAATGGAACTAGAAAAAAAAAGGAAGAAATTAACAATAATGGGCCGAAAACGGGTCGGATCCGCACCTGAAAATTTTGGGGGTTTTTATACCTTGATCACTAAATCTTTCATATTACGATATATGTCCTTTAAACCTGCAAAATTGCTATAAAGTTGTCAATATTGTCGATTTGAGGGTTATGTAAGTAAAAATAATTCTTTTTTAAAGCATCCTCAGGCAGGATATAGGCACGTGTGACTGATAAACTCACCCCACATTTTCTGTAATATCGTACATATTCTCTCTCCACTCTCTCATCGAACAACGGCGCGGCATGGAGGAGCTCAGCTAGGGTTTCCCCCAATCTTTCGATCCCTCAGGTTCGATCTCTTTTTCTCTTTGTTTTCATTCAATTTCGATCTCTTTTTAACCTCAATCCTTCCGTAATTTTCTCAAAGAACCAACTTCTGCAGGATTAGGATCCCCTTTTTCTCAGAAAATGGCGTGGTTTAGGGCAGTCTCGGGTGTAGCTAGGGTTGCCCTTAGGCGAAACCTAGCTCAATCCCATCACCACATCACGAGGCCTCGAATCGTCCCTCGAAATTTCCATTCAACCGCTTTGAAATCAAAGGCGCGAATCGGCGCCCGATCCCTCGCAGCCGTCCCTTTATCTCGTCTCACTGACAGCTTTCTCGATGGGACGAGCAGCGTTTATCTCGAAGAGCTGCAGAGAGCTTGGGAAGCTGACCCCAATTCGGTCGATGAGTCGTGGGATAATTTCTTTAGGAATTTTGTTGGCCAGGCTTCCACTTCGCCGGGGATATCGGGTCAGACGATTCAGGAGAGCATGAGGTTGCTCCTTTTGGTTAGGGCATATCAAGTTAGCGGGCATACGAAGGCGAAGTTGGATCCTTTAGGTTTGGAAGAGAGGGTGATTCCCGAGGATCTTGATCCGGCGCTTTATGGGTTTACCGAAGCGGATTTGGATAGAGAGTTCTTTCTCGGTGTATGGAGAATGGCGGGGTTCTTGTCGGAGAATCGACCAGTACAGACTTTGAGGGAGATTTTGAGTAGGCTTGAAAGGGCTTATTGTGGAAGCATTGGGTATGAGTATATGCATATTCCGGATAGAGAGCAGTGTAACTGGTTGAGAGATAAGATTGAGACGGTGAAGCCTAGGGCGTATAGTCCGGATCGTCAGCTGGTTATTCTCGATAGGCTTATTTGGAGCACTCAGTTTGAGAATTTCTTGGCGACGAAGTGGACGGCGGCGAAAAGGTTCGGCCTTGAGGGTGCAGAGACGTTGATTCCTGGCATGAAAGAGATGTTTGATCGTGCTGCTGATCTCGGGGTTGAGAGTATTGTGATTGGGATGTCACACAGAGGAAGGCTTAATGTGTTGGGTAATGTTGTTAGGAAGCCATTGAGGCAGATATTTAGTGAATTTAGTGGTGGGACGAAGCCTATTGATGAGGTTGGGCTATATACAGGGACTGGTGATGTAAAATACCATCTGGGTACTTCTTATGATAGGCCTACTAGAGGTGGAAAGCAGATTCACCTCTCGTTAGTTGCGAATCCGAGTCATTTGGAGGCTGTAGATCCAGTTGTAGTTGGAAAAACTCGTGCTAAGCAGTATTATTCTGGGGATACGGAGAGAATGAAGAATTTGGGGATTTTGATACATGGAGATGGAAGTTTTGCAGGGCAAGGTGTGGTTTACGAGACTCTGCATTTAAGTGCCCTTCCCAACTATACCACTGGTGGGACAATTCATATCGTGATTAACAATCAAGTTGCTTTTACAACTGATCCGAGGTCCGGCAGGTCCTCCCAGTACTGTACTGATGTTGCCAAAGCTTTGAGTGCTCCAATTTTTCATGTAAATGGCGATGATATAGAAGCTGTGGTTCATGCTTGTGAGCTTGCTGCAGAGTGGCGACAGACTTTCCATTCTGATGTGGTGGTGGATATAGTTTGTTACCGACGATTTGGTCACAATGAGATTGATGAGCCATCATTCACACAACCCAAGATGTATCAGGTACTTTATTCATTCTCATTCAATTACTATTTTCAGTGGCTTCTTTACCGGATCTTTTTATTGCCATCCATTATGTCATTGTGCTAACTTTCAGAATGTATAGTTGTCTTGGAAATGATTTTGTACATATATGCAACCCATTTCTTCGTGTCCATTTCGCCTGAATAAACTGGTGGAAAAGATTGGTGGTGAGAATAAACTAAATTGAAATCTAACTTTGTTATGATAAATTGGCAATAGGGCATATAACAAAAGAAAGAAAAATTACTGAAAAAATTTACCATACGGCATATGACGTAAGAATGAAAAATCACTGAAAAGTTTTACTTGGTTTAGAATAGCAATAGTGATCTGAAATGAGGCTGATTTTTTTTAGTCATGTGTCTTTAATGAGCTAACTAATACGATGCTTATAGGTCATTCGGAGTCATCCAAGATCACTTGATATCTACCAAGATAAACTTTTAGAGTTAGGCCAGATCTCTAAAGAAGACATTGAGAGGATAAACAATAAAGTAAGCTCTATCTTGAATGAGGAGTTCAATAACAGCAAGGATTATGTTCCAAAGAAGAGGGACTGGCTTTCAGCCTATTGGACCGGATTCAAATCTCCTGAGCAAATCTCGCGAGTTCGGAACACTGGGTATGTTGAATTCCTATAGTAATTTCATTTACGTACACATGTTTTTGCCTTTTGTAAAATTGTCTTCCTTTCTTCAGAGTAAAACCTGAAATACTGAAAAGTGTTGGAAAAGCTCTCACAACGATTCCTGAAAACTTCAAGCCTCATAGAGCTGTTAAGAAGATTTTTGAGCAGCGTGCTCGAATGTTTGAAACCGGAGAAGGGATTGACTGGGCAGTGGGCGAAGCACTTGCTTTTGCAACCCTTATTGTGGAAGGTAACCATGTGAGGTTGAGTGGTCAGGATGTTGAAAGAGGTACATTCAGTCATCGTCACGCGGTCATTCATGATCAGGAAACTGGAAACCAGTACTGTGCTCTAGATCATCTTGTTATGAACCAGAACGAGGAGATGTTTACAGTTAGCAACAGGTAAAGTGATCAACTTTTTTTGCTTCATGGTTGAATTAATGCAGCTAAGTTTTTCTGAATTTTCTTATGCCTATTCAATCTGATGTATATGTGGAAAAAGGATTACTACTCTTTTCAAAACACTGGGAAAATTAGGCTTCAGATTGTTGTCACTATATTTTTGTCGGGTTAACACATATTTCAGTTAAGTTACTCTAGTCGTGTGTGTCAGAACTGGGATGGTATTGTCAAGGTGAGGTTCAACTACTGATGCTTGTAGAGTTAATTTCGTCTCGTGGGTCTTAAGTATAACTATCATTGAATATGTTGCATAGCCACAAATAAAGAAGAGGTGTTTTATATTGTGTACATATTACATATTAATATTCAAATACTTGTTAAAATATTTTTTGGATGCTTATTTTAAATACTATAACTACGCTAGCAATATCAAAGGCGTATAAAAGATTCATCGGAGAGTGAGAATTAAAATTCTAATGCCTTAAGTGACTGGTTCAAAATCTTGTTCAACTTCTAGATGCAGTTTCTTGATGAACAGCAATGATTATTTTGATAACCCTTGATTAACATAACTTATAACAGGTGTATTATCCGAGTTGTTTTTATTTTTTAACCAATGGATTTAAGAGTCCATGCCATACAGCCATAGTTTAAGTAGAGAATATGAGTATATTAAGTCTAGTACACAATTTTATTATCATCGTATGCATATCAGATTCTGGTGTAAAAATTTTGCTTGTTGAGTTGTCATAGTGCAGCTTGCTCATGTATCGTTTACCTATTTTATATCTGCTGAATCTTGTTAAATATAGTAGTTAGGCATATTGTATCCTTTTATTTTAGTCCCACATCGCTTAGGATACTAGAAGCTCTTCTCTTGCTATTGTATATAAAAAACTCAATGCAATAAATAACCGTCTCTTATCTTCCTAACAGCTCAATTCTAGCCACATTATTAACCCTAGAGAAACTTCTTTCTTCGTTCTCTACATTGAGCGGAGCCATGGAGGGGGTTTTGTCTAAAACTAAACGCTTCCCCTCGGCGGCCTCGACATCAGATTTAGTCTTCGGAGTTGCTCGTCGTCGGCCCCCCTAATGTTGTCATTCGTCGTCACGCCACTAGTCGCAATAGTCGACCCTGCTCGACATCAACCCCCTGCTTGACGTTGACCAATCTCCGTCACCAGAGCTGCCTCGTCAAGAGGCGATCTCATAGTCGATCAACGTTGTTGCCTCGTTGAGATCTGATCATGCTGATCGTGCCCTCATCTGATCTCACTGCCTTGAGATCTTGTTTGCCATTGTTCTTACCTCTAGTTCCGCTGTTGCCATCTGCCATTGGTGTGTCATCGTTCGCCGACTCCACTGCTTCAAAATTCACTCACTCCACCTATTTGACAAAATTTCCCAACCACATTTCCTGTCTAGACCTTGTCGATCCCTGACTAGATCTTGTCTAATCAATGCTGCTTCCGCAATGAGCCCTGATCGAGATTTGATCTCAACAACCACAAGTCCGATCAGAACCCTCGCCATTTGTGCTGCCTCTGAGCCGGCGACCAGTTCTTGTCGAGATCCAATCTTGACAACTTTCCGTTAGCTAGTCCTCTTGTGATCCACTACTCAAGATCTCTCCTCTAACGACCACCGTGTGTGATCGTCGATCACCACTGCAACAACATGATATCGCTGCCTGCAATTCCAGCGACTTATGTGCTCCAATTCAACCACCTCGCCGAGCCACATCAACAACCATCTATGCAAGTTTGACTCATATTATCCAAACTATTGGTTTTTTACCGACCGCGAGTTTGATCGAGGGTGTTAAATATAATAATTAGGCATATTGCATCCTTTTATTTTAGCCCCACATCGCTTAGGATACTAGAAGCTCTTCGCTTGCTATTTGTATATAAATAACTCAGTGCAATAAATAACATAGTCTCTTTTCTTCCCCAAAGCTCAATTCTTATCTAATCAAGGGATTAATATATTTTTACTTTTGAGAATTGCTAGTGCATCTGGTAGCAGTTTTATTGAGAATACCAGTGCCTTGTTGAACGCTAACTGTGAGAAACTGGTTCTGGTACTCAGAATGGAACATACGTTATGTCATGGATAAGCATAATTTATAACCAAACTGCCAACTCGCTTTCTCAATTTGTTGTATACAATGGTATGTGCTATCATGCGTGGACACAACTATTAACCGAACTTATCTTTGCAGCTCACTTTCTGAGTTTGCTGTCCTTGGGTTTGAATTGGGCTACTCAATGGAGAATCCCAATTCTTTGGTACTTTGGGAAGCTCAATTTGGTGATTTCTCAAATGGAGCTCAAGTAATATTTGATCAGTTCTTGAGCAGCGGAGAATCGAAGTGGCTCCGCCAAACTGGGCTTGTTGTATTGCTTCCTCATGGTTATGATGGCCAAGGCCCAGAGCATTCAAGTGCACGATTAGAACGTTTTCTCCAGGTATTTTGTGTAGATTTTTGTACATATGCCTTTGACTTTGTCTTCTGAAGGTCATATGTTCTAACTGTAGCGTTTTAGGTTTTCTTAAGAATATATCATAAATTTAATTTCTGTTTGATGTCTTAAGTTCTAAACATATTTCTTCTCTGTTATGTGGTTTTCTACCCTTTTATGATTAGATCCCCACCAAATATTATATTCCTCCATTTCTTTATTCCTCGGTCTGTGGGGGATATGTTTGTCTTTGGTGTCATATAACGTAGATGGATGTTGCTCTTTTTTTTTACTTAAGTTTCCTTCGTGTTTTATTACGATTTCGTTCCTAATTTTATCACCTAGCATTTTATCACTGAATGTTTCTACTTCTATGCAGATGAGTGATGATAACCCTTATGTTATTCCTGAAATGGAACCAACTCTTAGAAAACAGATCCAGGAGTGTAATTGGCAAGTTGTGAATGTCACAACACCTGCAAATTATTTCCATGTTCTCCGGCGTCAGGTTAGGGTTTATAAAAACCAGCTCTATAGTTCCTTGATGGGGAAGTTACTTTCTTTTGCTGATTATTTGTTGTTTTTTCAGATACACAGGGATTTCAGAAAACCGCTAATAATAATGGCTCCCAAGAACCTGCTTCGTCACAAGGAATGCAAGTCACATCTATCAGAATTTGATGATCTTGTGGGCCATCCAGGATTTGATAAACAAGGAACACGATTTAAACGTCTTATTAAGGATCAGAATGATCACAAAGAGGTCGAGGAGAGCATTAGCCGGTTGGTTCTGTGCTCTGGAAAGGTACACAGCTTCTATCATGCTTTGAGTACTAGTTGTAATATCTCATGTCATTGTCACCTTTAATGAGACAAGGATACAGTTTCTTCCTTTTCATTATGTAAGTAAAATTTTCCCTCCTTTGTACCTTACAGGTGTATTATGAGCTAGATGAAGAGCGGAGGAACTCGGGTCGCAAGGATGTTGCAATATGCAGAGTTGAACAACTCTGCCCATTCCCCTATGATCTTGTCCAGAGAGAGTTGAAGCGATATCCAAGTATGAAGGATTCAACAATTAGCTACTTCACACACGCATGCGCACACAGAAAGTTTGCTGCACCTGCACATTTCAAACTCACATAGGCACAAACAGATATACTCTTTTGCTGCAATATCACTGTTTTAATATTCAACTATGCTTACCTAATTCCTTCATTAGTGAGATAGAACATCAAGTTTAAACCTTTTTACCTTGTAACCATGCATAATTTATTCAACGTCTAGAACTTGACATTATTGATGGGGGGAAATGCTGCTTCGTTGTCCAGGGAAAAAAAACTATTTCTAATAATTTTAGTTGATGCATTCGAAATGGTTATGCAACATTGGTTATGCACATGAATAGTTTCCATGTCTAACTGCACTTTGCCTGATCTCAGCATCACTTAGTTTAAACTGGCCAACCCAATCTCTGTTGTTACAGTTAAATATAAAACTATAACCCTCCAATCCTCACAACTTACAAAGTTTTGGTATAGTGGCAGGGACTTTAAGAGTTGCATATCATTGTGGACTAATTAGTTTGTAATTTGTTTAGTGCCTAGTTCATTTCCATTAGAATCTAGCATATTCCATCTTTAACAGCTTGCTTTCTCTTGGTATCCTCTGCTATAAACTTTATCTTCCAATTGTCTTTTGAAATTAAACTTTAAGTAGCTGTATTTTTGTGTAACTTTGAACTGAACCTTTTGTGATTGTTTTTTTCTTCCCCTATCTCTCTCTCTCTCCAGACGCAGAGATCGTTTGGTGCCAGGAAGAACCAATGAACATGGGTGCATACAGTTACATTAACCCCCGCTTGTCAACAGCCATGAGGTCAGTGAGTAGAGGCATCAGCTGCCACAGCCACCGGTTTCTATTCTGTGCATGTTCAGGAGCAAACTGAGCTTGTTAAGAAAGCACTTCAACCTGAGCCCATCAATTATCCTTACTGAGCTTTAGATGAGTTTCTTTCTGCAGAATAAGGGCAGGAGAGTTGTTACCTGTCTTTATGAGTTTTGGTTAGATGTACCCTCATGGTACCTTGAATTTTGACAAAATAAGTTTTTGTTTTGGTATGACATGCAATTTTGGTACTGTGTATGTTCATACTTCATACCTTCCCCAGTATCAATGCAAGCTACATTGATGTGATGTGGTGTTGAATATTACTGAATACAAAATGATGATAATGTTTTTCTTCTAATGGTGGAGTTCCCCAATTATGGTGCTAAAATTTGTATACAATAATCATGATTGCAAACTATTCCTTTGTTTGAGATGATCATGATCGCAAACTGTTCCTTTGTTTGGAGGCAATCAGATCAACAGAGAGAATCCAATCAGGGTTTAAAAAAATTGCACTTTTGTTTTCACTTTCCATTGTATTGTTACAAGAGTATTTGCAAGATAACTACAAGGATTTCATAGAGAAATGAGCAAAAACTAGACAGAAAAACATTGGTACACAGTCATGAGGCCGAAAAAGAGCCAACCAAACAAAGATGAGGAGATTTAGCTGAACGCCTATGGGAATCATAAGATAAAAGCTGATAGCATACATGAACAAGTTCATTGTATCAATATACAAAACTTAAAGACCATCATCTAGCATCTTACCAACTCCAATCCTACCAAATTTGCAAACAGTAATTAGGTTCTATTAATTCAATTGATTAGAATAGAAGTACAGACAAATTGAATACCTACTTAAGAATTACCACACAAATGTACGCAGATCAAAGGTATAACCTACAAATAATTCAAGCCCCAGCGATAAGCAATTTCTGATCTCTGTTCTGCCCTACAAAGAGCTCCTTTCGTCCCTTAATCGAAAACTTTTCATCCACCTCTCTGTAGACTCCATAACTATGAGCATTATGCACATTCATAAAGCAGAGGTACTTGATGAAGGAAGTTAAAGTCGAACCATAATCATGGTATCTTTTATAGACCAGTTTTCGCTCGTTTCATCCCTGTACTATTGAATGGAGACACATTGGGGCTCATATGAGGGCTCTCTTCTCTCAAAGTACCATTCAGCATTGCTAATTCCCTCAACTGTTGTTTCTTGTAAAAGTCTGCCGATTCATCCTGAAAAAGAAAAAGAAAAAAAAAAGCCAAAGCATTTGAATAATTACTGAACATAGAAAGCAATAGCAAGAAAGGAGATAGGCTCTACTCTATATACCACAGGCTGTAGAAGTTCTTCAACGATTGCCACAGCTCGATTCAGTTGGACATCAATCACGTCTGCTGGTAACTCGGCCTCAACAAGAACATGTAATTGCTCGTTAAGGTGTTCGTATCCAGGTTTATCTCTTAGCATTTCTTCCTATAGGAAACCCAAAACTTAGAAATGTTAAGAAATTATTTGAGATTTTGTTCTATGAACAACATTCTAATGATTTGAGATTTAAAGGATTTCGTAAAATTACTTGTGTTCATGTAAGCAACAAAAATGATAACATTATTACATTAGGAAAAAGACATCCTATGCAAGGGTCCTTATAGAAAATCATATAGGAGGTAGGATGATTTGACACATGTCCCCAGCACAAATCTTAAAGCCCATGGTCAATAACAAAGATACCTGTCAGTCGGTGGCCCTTTAGAATTTTCTTTTTCCAATTTATGTATCGGGAATAGAGTCATTTTTCGTGTCAAATAAAAATGACAGTATGATACAGCCATTGACTTGAATTAGGTGGTGTCTTTAAATAGAAATCATGAACAATAAAATTTATCATCATCATGGTCATCATCTGGCCTTTTCCCCAATAAAGTGGTGTTGGTTAGGGAACAAACAATTTTCTGAGAGACATAACCAAAATCTATATTAAGCGTTCAAACCTGATTTCCATCCTCTCTACCATGATAAATTCCTCTCAATACCATGTTATACATAGTTTCAAAAAGAGTTTCAAAGAGAAAATTGGCTGAAAATTTTAGCATCACCATAGGCTCTAAAGAAAAACAACCAAATATTGACGTTAAAGAAAATCTGTGATTTAACTTTAATTTGCACAACAAGCGACAACCAATGATTCAAGATATAACTCGAGGAATTTTGTTCTTACAAAATCTTTTCCATTGATAGGGAGTGGAATAGACACATAAAAAACAGCAAATCCAGTACCTTTGTGAGAGAGAAAATTTGGGACTTGTTGCAAGAAGAAAAAAAAGGTGGTTTATTTATTCACATTCTGATGAATCTGCTTGCTACATGCTCTCATTATTTCAATAATGATTTCATGAATAAACTTCTTTTTCGTGCTTAAATTGTACAAACAGTTGGCACCAATGGAGATATGATTCACCTTTCTAAAGTAAAAAAGGAGGCAAAAGTATTTAAAATATAAATGATTTACATCAGCGCAATGAAAGATAGAATATGAGAATGTAAATCATTGCAAAACAATGAGATAAATAAAGGTTAAAAGTTAAGATTAATGAATAAGAAAAACCAAAGGAAGATCATTCTCACAGCTTATCATCAATCATCTTTCATGTTGTGATCATGTGACACTGTTTTTTTTTTGGGTGGGTTGGGGGATATTGACTAAACTTTTGTATCTTCATCCATAGATCTTTCATTCATACTCAGTCAATTGGAAGATTTGATACAATTCAAATAAAAATTATGCTTCACGACTCCATAATTCCATTTTTTATTCAATTTTAAATTGACCCTTGGATACAAATCGTGAAAATGTATATTCTTCCTCAAATATACTATTGAGGGAAAAAGGATTAAACCTTTTTAAGAAATAATTTTTTTTCATCGTAATATGAAAAAACCGAAAGACCCCTTAACTATTTAAGTTATTAATTGAACGAATCACACTTTTACCACTAAACTATACCCGCTACATATCTCCATTATTATATATGAATGGATCTTTTGTCGGACAAAAGAATGAGATAAAATTAAGATAGCATCTTTCATTTTCAACTTCCCTTCCGATTATAGATTTTTTGTCTGGTCAGAAGAGTCCTCCTAAACGTGTTCAGGAGTGACAAGTGCTACAAAAGGTATAAATGAGGGGTTACCTGCAATTCAGCCTATAATTAAAGCAAGATGATTGGAGAGAGGTGCTTCCAGACTATCATGTGATTGCAGTACCCATGAAACCAAAGGAATATCTTACAGGAAAGTTACAGGTGTGTTATGTGATCAGCTATCAATATTTATAATTTTGTCCAAATAAGAAACAGCATATGGAGGCATGAGTTGTTTAAAAATGAATATTCTGAATGGATAACTAACAAAATGCTAAAAGATAGTAAAGACCAAAGTTACCTCCATACCTCATCTGGACTCCCATATTTGTGTCTGACGCATGTCCGATACTGACACTCCTTGAATATGAATACGTTTATTGAGATGTATACTCAATTATATAACACAGTTTAGTTTAAACACATCATACACTTATTGGACCTATATTTTAAACTTCATGTACACTTGCAACTCGCCAGACATTGGTCAGGTTCGTTTCATCCTATACCCAGCTCAGATGTATGATTTAAAGGGCAGTTTAGGTATTTGGTTGAAAAATGAGCCGTGTCCCTATATCCAACCTTTTACAAAATTTCGTGTCCGGTGTCTGTATCCATGTCCACTAGGGATGCTAAACAGTTAGGATATATTCGAACCGACAGCAACCGTACCCGATAATGATGTGGATACGGTAGCTAAAATCTGAAACCGACCAGATATGGTTTTGGTTTCGGATATGATTTTCCCTTTTTTACTCGGATACGGTTCCGGATACAATAATAGGGTTCAAGTAGTGGATACGGTTTGGATATCCGGATGTTCATTTTAAGAAAAAACATGAATAACAACATAATGCACTTGCTAAGATTCAAACCTTGGCCACTTAGTTATAAGGCAATTAACCTAACCGTTAGGCTACAAACGAACCTACTATATATCTGATTTGCATATTACTTAACACAGTTTGCTTTTTCTCACTACCCTCCACAGTGTTACTAAAATCCCAGTGCTATAAGCTAAATGAGAGTGTTATAGTATAGGCACTTATTCAAGGTTTAGATTAGATAAGTGATTTCACCTGCATGTACTATTTTATTATATATGATTATACATTTTTTGTCATGTCCTATATATATGTCTGAGTCATATACATTTCCTAAATATCCGATTTGTACCCATGATCATAACCGTATCAGATTCTCTAGTATCCGAACCACCGAACCATATCCGTTTCCGTTTAGCGTGGATATGGTCTTGACTTTTTCTAACCGACGCATACACGTAACCGTATCCGTATTCATATCCGTTTTTAGAAAGCGGATATGGATATGGTAAGTGTCATATCCGAAACATATCCAGACCGAATGCACGTCTAGTGTCCACACCCGTGCAACCTAGGTTAAGACCAGTTAATATTCATTGATTGACATTTACTACATTGTAGCCATTGAACGAGAATGAACTAGAACGTAGTAAAATTTTGAGGTAAAATGCCAAATTATCCCGAAACAAATTATAACAAAAAGAAGCATTATGAAGTGTTAATACCTTAGCAGAGTCCTTGACAGAACCTCGGCCTCGGATATAAACTCTGCAATGAGTTGTAACTTCGACTCTTTTCAAGGAGTTCCCTCTTGGCCCCAAAAGACGACCGACAAAGTTATACTGATTAACATTGACAAATTAGTAATTGCAAATGAAACATTTGTCCAAAACAACTTTAGTTAGTCTGTATACTAGAATAAGTTTGCATACATTGGGGAACTTGTCCACAGGAACATCTAGTCTCACAACTTTCTTAACAAAAGGACTCATAGCAACTCCAGGAGTCCCATTCCAACCAACAGCAAGTGCTGGAGAGCTCCCCATTCTTTGTAAATAACCATGTTCCTGCATATGGAATTGGCATGAGTAACATTGTGTAGTAAGTGATGGATGGATCTATTCATATCAGGAAGAACAGGAAATTAGAAAAAGAAAACAGCAAAAACAGTTCAGTAGGGTAGCATAAGAAAAGAATGCAATTGTAGAAAATTAGAGGTTGATTCTATCGCAGGATAATATAAGAATCAAACAAGATTGTTTGGCTATGTGCATCAAAGAGCACTAAATTCACCACTTACAAGAAGTGATGAGATTATAATTAATGGAGCAAGAAGGCCTAATGCTAGGCCTAAGAGAATTTGGTTGGAAACAGTTGAGAATGTTAGAAATAATCAACATAATAAAAGAACCTTAAATAAGTGATGGGAATTTTAATTCTAACAATACACAAATTAAAAATAATAACGATCTCATGTAAATCATTAATGTTAGACACACACACATATGAGAAAAATAGAAAAACTTGGTACCACGTTTCTCTATTGAACTTGGTAGTGATGTGGACTGATCTGGTCCACACATCTAGATAGAGAGGGGTTGATGTAAGTTTGAAAAAAAAACACTTTTAAAAAAAAAATCTCCTCGCACCACCTCCATTTACGCTGCTGGCAATCTCTCCCCCCCCCTCGTTCACTTACGCTCCTCCCTTGCCAAACCCACCGTTGCAACCTCGCCTTCGCTGTCGGCGACCATGCTCCCTTCCAACGCCGCTACCGCCGCTCCCTCCTACCAGCTACTCGCTTCCGTTCAGCCGGTCGCACGCACCCCTTCCTTCTAACCCTGCACCGCCATGCCCTCACTTCCACGACCACTACCTTGCCGCCACCGCGACCCCCGCGCACCGCCGCCTCTCCCTTCCATATCCCGCCACCGCCGCCCCCCCTTCCAATCCCGCTGGCCGCCTCTCCTTTCTAACCCCGCCGCAGCCGCCTGATCTCTTCCACCCCGCCGTCCCGCTTCTTGCCTTCAAACCTGCAACCTCTCCCTTCCAAACAACAGGGTCCGGCGGTGGCGGCGAGTTTGGAAGGGTAGGAGCGGCGTGAATGACGGGGGAGAGAGAGGGAGGGAGAGAGAGAGAGGAGAGAGAGATTGAACAGTAAATGAGGGAGAGAGGGGGAGAGAGAATTTTTTTTAAAAAGTGGGTTTTTTTTTTGCAAACTTACATCAACCCTCTTTCTATCTAAGATGTGTGGACTAGAGTCAGTCCACATCACTAACCAAGTTCAATGGAAAAACTTGGTACCAAGTTTCTCCATTTTTCTCTTATATATATAATATATATATATATATATATATATATATATATATATATATATATATACACACACACACACACACATGTATGTATGTATATACACCTATACACATACACGGTATGAGGTTATTTACATTGAAGATCAAAAGAATTCTCTAAAACATTTACCTGCTGAGAACCAAGCCTATATGCTACATATATACAATGTGTGGATTGTGTGTGTGTGTGTGTGGTGTGTGTGTATATATATATATATATATATATATATATTATATATATATATATAATATATATACAATCTGTTGGCGTCGCAGAACCTGGACCCGTGCTTGTGACGATACCCTTATATATGTGTGTGTATGTAATATGTTGTGTCCCGAACCTGGACCCGTGGTCGTGACGATACCCTTACCGGTTTCCATGCATCAAAATATATTTTATCACTATCACGACATATGCTTCGATCTATTAGATTTCGTCAGTTTGTTTTTTGGGTTCTTTTGCATAATGAAATTGTTGGATACTACTACTCCAATCCTTACGACACCAACATATAGATGATATTGATTAAGACTTTTAGGTACTTTTAACTGTTTATATTCGGAATGTATGCAATTTTCACGACAGCATCTTGTTTGACATTTAGTAAATTCTATACATATGTCGAAAAAGATCTAACAATATAATAACATAACATCTTTATTATATTATCAAGAGGCCCGTCCTTAAACATATCTTATTCATGTTTCTCATTGCATGATTTTCCTAATATTTTTTTATCAGTCTTTATGGAGAAAATATTTGTGGTGAGCAATGTCTAAATTGCGCATCTTCAGGTAGAAGCTAGCCACTACATCTCATAATGCACCAACACTATTGAATGGATATGTACAGAAAAGTAGCAGGTACAAATTAGCTCCATTTAAATTTAGGCACGTCGATCATTTCAAGGAAATCCTAACTATGAAGCCATAGTACTATTCATATTTCACTACCATATAGGAATACTTTGCATCATTGCCAAAATGTTCACACAGAAATTTCCTCAAGGTTGAGAAACTAAATCCTTCATGACTTTTACAGCTAATGTTCAATTCAATGTAATTTGACAAATCCTAAGGTATAATAAAATAGTATATGCCACTAACCCAGCTCCTACATAAAAGTAAAAAATAAATCAGATCACTGGCGATCACTGAAATGGTGTTTAATCTTAAGCAAATCTAGTCAAACAATAACAAGCAATAAAAATGACTCATTTCAAATTATCGAACAGTATATAACTCTAAATTCTTCTTTGATGAAGTTGGAATATAGATGCCATATAGTTAGCAAATGACTCGGAAAAAAGCAAAGTATCAAATCTCGTACATTATAAGAACTTGATCAATATTTTGAAACAACCATCGGTGAGAATAGTATACTACCTCCACCTGCATCCCTGACCATCCCTCTACATCCATAGATGTACCGCTCAAGGTACGACCAGCTAACCTTAACGGACTTCCATGCTCAATTCTCTCAGGACTAACAAAATTTTGGTTCGGTGCCAACCCCGATGCCCGTACAATTTCTGCATATAAATCAACATGACAGAATATCCATTAGAAAAAAATTGCTGAAATATTTTATCAGAAGCATGCTAAGACTTATCTTTCCACAGTTGAAGCTAGTTTCCAGGGCAACCGAACAATCAATGCTGTGGATAAAAAATTTTAGTTCTAGGTTCAACTTTACTAAGAGAATGAAAATTTTATAATGGATGGAGTAGCACAAACAAGAATGTTACAATGAATGAGTGGATATACAGTAAAGCATGGGAAATGAGGGAATACATAGGAGATAGAGGTTGCTCCTGTTGAGGATAAAATGAGAGAGGATCGTTAAGGATGGTTCAGTCATGTGCAACAGAGGCCATCAAATGCACCAATTAGGAGAAGTTAAAAAATTATAATTGAAGGCGAAAGGAGGATTAAAGGTACGCCCAAGAGAACTTGGTTATAGGTTATTAAGGAGACGATAATGGATCAACACATTGGACGAAATAGCCCTCAAAAATTGAGGTAAAGGCTTTGTTGTCTGTGCTGTTTTGTTCAACTTTAACAAGAAAGTTCATTCCTATAGGGTTCTTCTTTATCTTTTAGGTTGGTTAATCCCAAGCAAAATAAGAACATTAAGACTTGCTCTTAATTTTGTTTGGTTTGTTACTTATTCTGTCAGGATAGAATTGATAATGATACAAGTCCATCAACACATTGAAGTACCCAAATTACAAAGAATAATCATACACAGCCATTCCAATGAAAATTGCTACAGTGCTAGAACTATCAAATCTGATTTCCTTAATCAACAAACTATAATCAATTCAAAGATAGCCAAAAAGTATTCCCCCAAAAACACCTCATACCTTGATTAAGAAGCCTACTACAACATGGAAGAACTTGAATAAAAGGCGCAAGCTTTTGCCTCTCAGCCAATAATTCAGCCACATATCTGCACACAAATACCCCCAAAAAGGGAGTACCAAATTAACACTCAAAGCTATCTGAAATTTATTCAACTACCAAAAACCCAATACTGAATATAGTGACTTGAAATCTAAAACCCATATCAGAATTACACAAAACTATAAGCCCAGATTAAAAAGAATAAACTTTGATCAAGAAATTTGTATACCTTTCTCTATCAGAGGAGGGTCTGATAGAATGATGAGGAGATGAGTGGACGCCAGAGGGTGAGTACTGGAAATACGCAGCAGGTGGCATCCTCTCATCCATTTTTGCTCCCTCAAAATCCTCTTGAAAATAGAATGAAAATAGAAAAAATAATATCGAAGGGGCTAAATTTATGTACACAGAGAAAAAAGGAAGAAATGGGCTGTGTTGGGTTGTCAATCTCTTTTATTTACTTTCCTTTGACAAGAGTTTTGGATTCTCCAATCTTTCTAATAAATAATTATTATTTTTTATTATTTTCATGAATCATGAGGATTGAGGAACAGAAGAAGACAAGGGTTTTTGAGAGAGGAGGAGAATTTTCTTGTTTTTACAGTGAACAGCCTGGATATTTTTTTAATTAGGCTCAATCAACAGCTGTGAGTGAGGCAATCAATTGATTGTTAGGTGTTATATCAATATTTATGTTAATAATGTAGTCATAGTGTTTCCAATTTAAAAGATGGAATAAAAAAGCTTTAAAGAGTTTATCCCCTTACCCTTTGCATATTTTTACTGTTGAGAGGTTTGATTTGAAACTGTAATTTTGGCACTTGATACTTATCCTTGTTAATAAATTATTTTGGTAATGTTTGACCTTGAGGGGACTAGATTGCATATCATGTGATGGGTGTGGACGCAAAGTATTTGGAATTTCAGATGCATGGATGAATAATTATGATTTCAGATGCATAGATGAATAATTAATGTCTTTATCATATACAGCCACTAGCAGAGTTCAATTTCTATTATAACCGAGCAGTAGGTTCTAGCACACATAGTAGCAAGCAAAATTGGAATTTGCTGCCCAACAGAACCAACCTCTCGCACGCGGTCAGGTCTGATAGAATTGATAATCAACCGACCATAGATTCCTTTCATGATGCAAAATGAATACACATTTTCGTGTACATGAATATGGAAATGAAAGAATATGAATATAGATAAAAACCATACTTCCATAAAAAGTGGGATGTGTAAAACTTTTCTTGGACAACTTTACCCTTAAAGCTTTTTTGTATTTCTTCTAATAATTCTAATTAAATTTAATTAATTGAATAAAGGTTCAAAAATATTAGCCCAAATTCTTTATTTTGCATACTTCAATGACTTATAGCCTCCTCCCCCCTCTCATATAAAAATATGGCATAACGTTTTCTGAGTAACATAATTCCTAATTCTGCTTCTCTCTTTATGCAATCTGAGAAAATTTCAGAAGTTAGAGATTAATATAAACTGAAACCTTCTCTCTTTTTCTCGCAACCTAATAAAATATCATCTTTGCAATTTTCCTCTCCCTTTACTCTCTCACATTCTAACCTTTCTAATCCCCAAAACCTCTCAAATGTCTTCTTGCCTGCAAATGAGGTATAAGTCCCTATATCCATTATATACTTTTTATTAACTTTATTTTTGTGTGTTTTTAACTACTCACTTGAGATCTCAATTTGTATATGTTGGATTTAAATCTAATTAAATCTATTTGTGGGCACATATGATTAATCAATGTGTATTACTATCTTTAAGGATAACCCACTTAAAGTGATCAATCAATTTGGGTTAATAGGTATTTAAATAAATAGAAGATCATCAAAACCCTAATCAAGTTTTCTTCAATGGATTCAGGTATATGCTTCTGCACCTTTTGATTCTTGTTAATCTCTTTGAATTCAATCATGGCTTTATGGTTTTAGATCTCAAGTTTTTATTAGATCTAACAAGTGGTATTAGAGCCACCATTGATTTGTTCTAAGAGATTAAGATTAAAATTAGGGTTCTTTGATCTTAATTTGTGTTTGATTCGGATCGGTTCACGGATGAACAGCAAAGTTTCTTATTTTCGGATGAACAGTAACCGTTTTATTTTCGGTGAACAGTAATTTTTTATTTTTCGGGTGAACAGTGAAAATATATTTTTGGATGAACAGTAAAGATTTTTATTTTCGGATGAATAGTAAAATTCTCATGTTGTTTGGTTTTTCTTTCGATTTTTGGATCTGTAGCATTTATGAACTCTAAAGTTCATTCCTTTTGTGTTTGATTCAATTTTTGAGGTTTGGATCTAAATGATTTGAGTTCAAAAAAAAAACGACAGAAAAATAATTATCTTTTTTGGGATTTTTTGATTTGTCGTCAATCTCCAAAAAAACTCCTCGTCGGAGTTGATTCAGCAGCGGCGGTTTCAGATTAAACCCTCAAGGGGTTCGTGCGCGTGAAAACGTGTGGAAATTAAGGAGGTGGTTACCTCAATTTAAGGAGGTGGTTACCTCAAATTAAGGAGGTGGTTACCTCAATTTTTGGCAAGGCTTGAAAGCTTCAAACGAACCTTGAGCTCGTTCTCAAACGAACCCTGAGTTCGTTCTCAAACGAACCCACGTTCATTCTCTAATGAAACATGCGTTCGTCGAACGTTGCGTTCATTGAACGTTGCGTTCATTCTCAGGTCGAACATCACGTTCATTTTCAGTCGAACCTCGCATTCGTGCTTCAGTCGAACCTCGCGTTCGTGCTTCAGTCGAACCTCGCGTTCGTGCTTCAGTCGAACCTCGCGTTCGTGCTTCAGTCAAACCTCGCGTTCCCCTAATTAAGCTGTGAGACCCCAATTAAGTTTTTGGAAATTCAGTTGATTTAAATTTTTTAATTTAAATCTAATTCGGTTTTTAATCAATTATTTAATTCAAATATTATGACACTAAGGTATTAAGGTTGTCTCTCACTCCAATTGATTAATTGAAACAAGAAGTTGCCAAAGTAACCTCTCTTGTGTAGATTGTTCATGAGGAATGTGAGATGTTTGTGTGTATGCTTTCGTGTAAATATTTAATCGGCCCAAAGGAAGGTTAATATTTATTTAGACTGTATACACATCTGCGATGATAAGCGTGTGACAATTATAAGGTTTACATGTGAATAATGAATCGATCCAAAGATAGTTTCATTATTTGACATGAGTTATTGTCAATGTTTGATCATTGCAACAAGGTATCACTTACAAGTTAATATTACTGTCCAAAGACTTGATATTAATGTTGTGCCCGATATCTTGGATGGGGATTGTCATTATTTGAATTTTATTGATTATGGTTATTGATGTGAGCATTTTTTGTTTTATTTCAGCTAATGCATCTGCTGCAACAATTTCTGCTAACATCAACTCAATTCTCATGCTCAATGGGACTAATTTCAAGGTTTGGAAAGAGAACATTTTAATTGTTCTTGGCTGCATGAATTTAGACTTTGCATTAAGAACTGAACAACCCCAACCTCTCAATGCGAATAGCACTCCTGATGCAAAGAAGGAGTATGAGAAATGAGAGCGTTCAAATCGCATGAGTCTTATGATCATTAAGCGCGGCGTTCCGGAAGCCTTCAGGGGCATAGAATCCGAAGGGATTACTAAGGCTAAAGATTTCCTTGCCGAAATTGAGAAGCGTTTTGCGAAAAACGATAAGGTAGAAACAAGCACGCTTTTAGCTCGCTTGATTTCAATGAAGTATAAGGGCAAAGGAAATATCAGGGAGTACATTATGGAAATGTCTCATATTGCTTCAAAGCTTAAGGCACTTAAACTCGATCTTTGTGACGAGTTATTAGTGCATCTGGTTTTGTTGTCTCTTCCTGCACAGTTTAACCAATTTAAGGTCAGTTATAACTGTCAAAAGGAGAAATGGACTCTAAATGAGCTCATTTCATACTGTGTGCAAGAAGAAGACAGGTTGAAGCAAGATAAGACAGAAAGTGCTCATTTGGCCTATGCCTCTAAGGATAAGGGCAAGAAAAGGAAGAATGATAAGGAAGCTGCTAAGGGTCCAGTTGAGAAGAAACAACATAAGGATAATCAGGGTTGTTTCTTCTGTAAGAAGCCTGGACATGTAAAGAAGGACTGTACAAAATATCACGCCTGGCGTGATAATAAGGGTACGTTCCTTGCTTTGGTCTGTTCTGAGGTTAATTTAGCTTCAGTACCTAGAAACACTTGGTGGTTAGACTCTGGTGCTACTACTCACATAAGTGCTTCTATGCAGGGCTGCCTGAGCTACCGGAAGCCAAGTGATGGTGAAAGATACATCTTTGTGGGCGATGGTCAATCAGTAGATGTGGAAGCAATTGGGCACTTTAGGTTGCTGTTAGGAACTGGTTCATATTTGGATTTAAAAGATACTTTTGTAGTACCGTCTTTTAGACGGAATTTGATTTCAGTTTCTGTATTGGACAAATCAGGTTACTCTTGTTCATTTGGAAACAATCAATTTAATTTATCTTTTAATTCAATTATTGTAGGAACTGGTTACTTGAGTACTTGTGACAACCTATATTTGCTTGATACAACTGCTTCTTATAATGAATCCTTGCATGTGGAATCACGTGGTACTAAATGTAAATTAAATAAGAAGTATGATCTCTTATTCTTCTTTACCAAAGTCTCTCTGGGGAGAAGCACTAAAGACAACAGCTTACATTCTGAATAGAGTATCAAGTAAAACAGTTGCTAAAACACCTTATGAGCTTTGGACTGGTCGAAAGCCCAGTTTAAAGCATTTACATATTTGGGGATGTCCAGCTGAGGCAAGGTCTTATAGGCCAAATAAAAAGAAATTGGACTCCAAAACATTTAGCAACTACTGGGTACCCTGATCGCTCTAGGGGCTATAAGTTTTATGATCCCACTATAAGGAATATTTTTGAGACGGGAACAGCAACATTCTTTGAGGATGTTGAGTTTGGGGGGAGAAATAAGGTTAGAGACATTAGTTTTGAGGAGGAATTGGCTTCAGATCCAATCCATACAGTTACTTTTGACAATATTCAGGTTCCTATACCTGTTGTTGCTCAAGAAGTAAATCCGGAACCTCAAGATGATAATGTTGAACAACTCCCTGTTCCAGAAGAACAAACTCAACAACCTCAAGAACTAGTGCCATTAAGGAGATCCACGAGAGAAAGGAGAAATGCTATTCCGGATGATTATATTGTATTTCTCCAAGAACATGAGGAAAGTAATGGAATGTTGGAAGATGATCCAATCAACTTCTCTCAGGCCATGAAAAGTTCTAACTCTCAACAGTGGATTGATGCCATGAATGAAGAGTACAAATCTATGCAAGACAATAAGGTTTGGGAACTTGTCCCGTTACCAGAAGGTGAAAAACCAATTGGTTGTAAATGGATTTTTTAAAACTAAGCGGGATGCAAATGGTAATGTAGAGAGGTACAAGGCACATCTTGTGGCTAAAGGCTATACTCAAAAGGAAGGTATTGATTATACAGAGACTTTCTCTCCGGTTTCATCGAAAGACTCTTTCAGAACAATTATGGC